GAATGTCATGCCCCCATGCCCAAGCAGCGCAGAGGTCACAAATTTTAAATTAATCATTTGGAACTTGCAATGTATTTCCCAAAGAAACAAGGTTATGAAAAGGTGGTAGTCCCAGTTCACTGAGGCAGGAGGATCATTTGAGCTCAGGAGTTCAATGTTGCAGTGTGCTAGGAAATTGAGGCAAGAGGATAGCTTAAGCCCAAGAGTTTGAAGTTGCTGTGAGCTATGACGCCACAACACTCTACCAAGAGCAATGAAGTGAGACTCTGTCTCAAAAACAAACAAACAAAAAATAAACAAAAAACCAGTGTGGCTACTCCTCTGCTCAGAACTCTCAGAGTCTTTCCACAGCACTCAGCATTCAAAGTCTGCACAATGGCATGCAACACCAGACAGTATAACCCCCCCACCTCATCCTGCTCAAGCCAGAGAGACTGCTGGGTACTCCCAGAGCACAGCAAGCACACACCTGCCTTGGGACATTTGCAGTAGCTCCCTTTGCCTAGAATACTTTTCCTATCAAACATCAACATGCCTTGCTTCCACTCTTTCTTAGTCTCTGTTCAAATGTCACCATCCAGTAAAGCCTTCCCTGGACAAATTTTTAAAATAGCAGCATCCTGGTGGCACCCATAGCTTAGTGGGTAGGGTGCTGGCCACATACATCCAGGCTGGTGGGTTTGAATCTGGCCCGGGCCAGCTAAACAACAATGACAACTGTAACCAAAAAATAATTAGGCTTTGTGGCAGGCACCAGTAGTCCCAGCTACTTGGGAGACTGAGGCAAGAGAATAGCTTAAGCCCAAGAGTTTGATGTTGCTGTGAGCTGTGATGCCATAGCACTCTACCGAGGGTGACATAGTGAGACTCTGTCTCAAAAAAAAAAAAAAAAATAGCAGCATCCTCACCATCCCAAATCTTTTTTTTTTTTTTTTTTAGACAGAGCCTCAAGCTGTCGCCCTGGGTAGAGTGTCATGGCATCACAGCTTACAGCAACCTCTAACTCCAGCGCTTAAGTGATTCTCTTGCCTCAGCCTCCCAAGTAGCTAGGACTACAAATGCCTACCACAACGCCCGGCTATTTTCTTGCTGCAGTTGTCATTGTTGTTTGGCAGGCTCAGGCTGGATTCAAACTGGCCAGCTCTGGTGTATGTGGCTGGCGCCTTAGCCACTTGAGCTACAGGCACTGAGCCACCATCCCAAATCTTACTATTTCTGAACCACCCTCCTTGCTTCGTTTTTCTCCAGGGTGTTTAACACCATTGGACATATTTCACTTACATATTTTGTGACTTCCACCAAAATACATACAACTGAGGACAGGTATTTTTGTCTGTTTGATTCATGCTGAATCCCTAGTACCTAGTGTAGTGCCTGACTACAGGTACTTAACAAGTATTCGAAGCAAATGCATTGGCCTAGAAGTGGAATCTCTCACTGTGATCACTTTCTCCTTTATTTTTGAGATGGAGTCTCGCTATGTTGTTGGGTAGCAGTGGCTATTCACGGACTGGACCATAGCTCACTACAGCCTCGAACTCCTGGCCGTCTGCCAAGTAGCTGAGACTACAGGCACGTGCCACTGTATCCGGCTGTGTGAGCACTTTCTCAGAAGCTGAGACCGATTGCCAAATTGCACATGAAAAGACAGCACCAGTTTACACTTTCACCACTAGAGGACAGGTCATCACTATCTCCTAGTAAGTGAGGCAGCTGAGACCCAGGAGAAGAGAGTTCCTTCACCTGGTGCTTGGGACTCCGGGTTCTCCCAAAATTTACCAAGGGAGGATTCAAGAAGGCTTTACAGAGGAAGGGGTTATCTGGGATGGGTGTGAAAGGACAGGAAGCCTTCTATCAAGTAGAAATGAGAAGAAATAAATCATTCCAGGCGGTAGATAAAATACAAACAGAAAATTGGAGGAAGGTAGAGTCGCAGTTGACTGGGATATGGTTGGGGGCCAGGAAGTTTCAAATCGATTCCACAGGTATTGGGAAGCCAAGGAGAATTTGGAGCAGAAAATTAATATGAAAATTGAAGCTTTCTGTTGGCTGCCTGCCTACTATCTTCCCTTTTCCATTTCCTTGTCCGTCTCCTCTGCTATGTGTTTCTCTCAGCTGCCCTGTCCCCTCCATGGCTTGTAACTGTCATATTCCTTTTCTACATCATAACCTTGAGAGTAAGGAGAGAGAGGGGATGAGCCAGGATCCTCCATCTCTCAGCCTCCCCTTGTCTTGCTCCCAGAGGAGTGAGGAAGCCCTGCTCAGGAGGCAGCTGGAAGGGAGCTGCCTGCCACTTCAGGGCCAGGCTTCAGCCCTTACCCCTCTTGGGCTGATTCTCCGTGCCTGGTACCAGTCAGTGCCAGCTGGCAGCTCTCACCGGAGACTGGGGTGGCACGAATATGGGGGAGGGGAGGAAGTGGGCAGGAACCCAAGGCGAGTAGTGTCAGAATCTGAAGGCGGAGGCAGTCAGAAACTGGGTGGCCACATGGGGTCTAATAGGATGAGGGGAAGGCTAGGCAGAGGCGTGCAGTGGGGGGAGGTGTTTGCGGAGGGGGGAGGTGCGGGCCCCTATTCTGGGTCTCCTGCCCCTGGCAAATCTAGTCCTCCCCCCCCCACCTACTTTCCTCCACACTCACCCCTTAAGCTGCCCCTGGCTAATTCTTCTCGTCCCCTTTAAGAGCTGCCTGGGAACTGGGGCACTGGAGGGGGCTGGCATCACCCCACCCCTCCCTGCCATCCCTGCCCCTGCTCCGCCCCTGTCCTGTACAGACTCTGCTTGAAGTCTTGGACGCCTGGGTTAGGGTCTCCACTGCTGGGCTGGGGGTAAGGCTTGAAAGTGGTGGGGAATGGGGATCGTGGTAACTGGGGTGGGATGTAGGGGCAGAGTGCCAGAGTCCTGGTAAGGACGCAAAGTGTCTGTGTGTAGACTGCACTGGACAATGTAGGGTGGTCCTCTGGCCTCAGGCTAGGGGAAGGGCAGCTCAGGGGTCTCAAGGGGCAAGTGCTATGGAGCAGGCTGTCCTGGTCTCCTCGCCCACCTCCCATGTCCACAGCCCATTTTCTCAGGGAACCTTCTTGGCTAGATTCCATTAGCCTCTCTCTGCCCTCCTGAGGTCAGAGACACAGAGCCCTGATCCTGTCTTCCCATAGGTAGGAAAATTGAGGCTAAGCAAACCAGAGGACATGGAAGTGTGCAAAGTGCAGCAGGAGAAATAGAGATTAGCCACAGAAAGGCTCGCTCCCTTCTCTCCCCAGAGAACTGGAAACAGGAGATCTAGGTGTCCAGTTCATTGTAGCAGGTTTCTAACTGTGGCTATGGCGACCACCAGGGCCCAAGTCCTTGCTCTCTCATCAGGACAATTTAGCTCCTTTCTGGAAACTTTGACCTTCATATGCCAAGGCCAAGAGAGGCCCCTGAAATCCAGCTAGGTAACCTAGAATGAAGTGGAGCTGAGGGAGATCTGCAGGCTCCCCCATTCCCTGGGTTATTTCAGAAATGTAGCCTCTTCCGATTCTGCCACAGAGATTGGGCCCAGTTCCCCTTAGGGAAGAAAATAGGGGCTGGGACTTAGTATCCACTAGTGGGGTGTGAAGTCTCCCTACATGTACAGTTCAATCTCCGTCCTTCCTGCTGCAGCCCCTGCCATCTTAACCCCAACTAATCTCTATGTCTTAGTCTTGAGGGAAAGACATCTGGACAAATAGGCACTCTCTGCACCCCCAAGGCCTAGATGCTAAGGATGGAGTGCCAGGAAGCAGTGGGGGCCATAGTAGCAGCTCTGTCCGGGGGTTACTTCTGCTTTCAGGGCATGTCGTGCCCCCTCCGCCCCACCCTAGAAGGAAATGCTCAACCACTATTCCAAAAAAGGGAACTAGTCTTGGCCTGTGAAACCCTCTGCGCCAGGCCATTACCAGAACACTGATTTCCTTTTTCTAAAAAATACTACTAAGTCTGGAGAGGAGCCAAGCTGCTCCCAGGTAGGCTGAAAAGCCATTATTTTACCTGTGTGGGCTAGAGAGGGCAAGTGCCCTGCCCAGAGTCACAGAGTAAATCATAGGCAATGGGCCAGGGGCCAGGACTCTTACTCCCAGCCTCAAGATGCCCTTTTCAGTTCCCCTGCAAGCAGAGAAGGCCAGTCTGTAAGGGGTTTTCCAATACCTCAGCTTACAAGTGCAGAAGTTAAGGCCCAGCAGGGACAGGAGTTCCAGGAATGGGGTTGCTTGGGATCAGGGCTAGATGAAGACACGAGGCTCAACAACCAGATTTCACCCAAACCCCTACCTGTCTCTGTTCCTTCCCGGATAGAAAAGAGTCCAGCTCAGTCTTGCCTCTTTTTCATCCAATCTAGTCTAGACCTTTGCGAAGTCCTTTCTGAAGTCTGCCCTTCACTTCTCTTCCTGCAGCACAAACTTTTCCCTCCTAATAGGTCTCAGGGGGTGTTAGCCAAAGAAGGCTTCTGGAGGAGTTACTTTCAGAGTGGTGACCTGGGAAGAAATTGCAGAACCTGAACCTGGCAGTGGACCCCCTCTCTTGAAAGTCAGGATAATATTAGTAGAAGAGGGCTTCTTTTGGCCTGTAATCTTAGCACTCTTGGAGGCTGAAGCAGGTGGATCCTTTGAGCTTAGTAGTTCAGACCAACCTGAGCAAAATCAAGACCTCATCTCTACTAAAAATAGAAAAACTGTCTGGTCATCATGGCAGGCACCTGTAGTCCCAGCTACTCTGAAGGCTGAGGCAGGAGGATTGCTTGAGCCCAGGAGTTTAGGTTGTTGTGAGCTATGATGCCACAGTACTCTAGCCAGAGTGACAAGGGACAAAGATTCTGTCTCAAAAAAAAAAAGAAGGCTTCTTGACAGGGACTTTGTCCCTTGGTTTATTTGCATAGTTATTTATGGGATCATTTTCACTCTCATTGGCTAACTCAATTTGTATAGTGCTGGGCTGGCATCCAGGTGTGTCTACCCTGTACACGCACTGTTCTCAGGGAAGAGGGAAACAGAAAAACTGGCCATACAGGGGAACTGGACTCACTGGACCTTCTGAACTCAGCTGGGAATATCTACACAGTGGGCTTGCCTGAAGGTGGGCAAAGGAGCTAAACAAGGGACCTGGTTGTCAGTGCACCCCCTCCTCACCTTCCCCCACATCTGGGGCCCTTCCTCTCCACACATGTGGATCCAGGAGCCACAGAAGGTGGGGCACAGTGGGACACGGGTAGGAGGAGGAAGAATATGGGGAGATTCTAGTCCCTCCCACTTAGAGATGTGGTTGCCATGGTGACTGAGGACCAGTGAGGCGGGATAGGGTTGGGAAGGGGGGTGGGGGTGTGGCAGGGACTGAGGCACTGTGAAACCAGTGCGCCAGGCATTCCAGCGGGAACGAAACGTTGTGGCACCCCCAGGCTCCAGGTAAGGGAGCAGAACTGACAGAAGGCTCTGAAAGGAGGGGGCGGGCATTGTCTGGCACTGGCTTTGCCCCGAGGAGGGGGCAGACAGAAGGGTCGGGCCATTGTGTGGGATGCTCAGCACAGCCTTCCAGGGCTAGTCAGACTGGAGGAGGGGACCTGGGAGGCCCTAGGGAAGGGCTTAGGAGTGATTGGGCTGGCCAAGTGACAAGAGGCTGGGGGCCAGGAGGAATGGGAAGGGGTAGGGGCACTGGGGGTATAGAGGCTTGGGGACATCCCTAGTGCCTACACATGGCAGACACTCAGTACATATGAATTGACTTGACTTGCTTATGATCATAAAAAGAGAGCAGATGAGGGGAGGGCAGGTAGGGCTGTACTCTGAGGGCTGTACCTGAGGCTGGGTGGAAGAAGGAAGTGAGGGACGCTGGACTTGCCAGGTCACTGGTGAAGCCAGGAGTGGCCTCTCTTCTGGCTCTGAGACCCCCTCCTTCAGTGAGGCACCCATGCTCTGCAGTGTTCTAAGGAAGCTGAGTCCTGGAGAGTTGGGGCTCCAAGGTGGGAGATAGCCGGAATGGGAAGGGGTGAGGGATCTGAGGATGTAGAGGTCTGGGGACATCTCTGGTGCCTACACATGGTGGGCACTCAGTACATATAATGGGAATCAACCCCTATATTTCTTTCCATGTTTCCCCATGTTTGGACCTCTACCTGGGATAAGCCTGGCAAGAAAGGGCCACTGTGCCCTATGGTCTTAGAGACGTGGAGAGGGGTCTGAGTCTCAAGAAAAACTGGACTTAGCAGAGAGAGGTTGAACTCAGTCTTATTGTCACAGGGGTTCCCCAGTCTGGGCTCCAGGGCATGTGGAGAGGTGGGTTGGAGGAACCTCCAGATAGTGGCTATGAAGATGGCATGACTCCTGTGACCTGGTCCCTGAACATCTGACCGCTCCCTTGCCCAACACCACCTGACCTGTTGCCTGACTCCAACCCCAGCTAAGGTACTTCCCCTCTTTGGCCTCGGTTTCCTCATTTGCACGTTGGGAGCTGGGGGCCTATCAGCTCAGAGCTTCCTCCATGCTGTGGGCAAGACTTGGTACCTAACCTGGGGAGCCCAAGGGAGAGTGAGAGTGTGGCACCCCTTGTTTAAAAGTTATTAAGATTTGCAAGAGTTTAAGAGGGCAACTGCAGAGTATCACAATGAGTGTGGGCCCTTTTAAGCACAGCCTGGCTATGAGTGAGACTTTGGATCTGACTGGAGGCTCTGGCGCTGAGGGCAGGTGCTGGGGCAGAGTGCCTTTCCTCCCTACCCAGTACTTCTTCACCAGGAGGCCCTTGCGGAGGCAGCAGGGGGCACCTGATGGTCTTTCTCTGGGGTGGTTTCTGTTACATCTGAGTCAGTAATCACCCCTGAAATGTTTCTCAGCCTAGAGGAGGCAGCTCGCTGCTCTCCCACCCTCACATTTGCCTCGTCCATCCAGGTGGCTCAGAACCGAGTTTCCTACACGGGGCAGAGGCAAGACTGAGTAGGCAGCACTCTGCAGAGACTGTGTAGCTGAGGGATTTGCTTTGGGATGAGGCAGACCTGAATTTAACTTGGCTTATAGCTGTGTAACCTCCCTTCCTCACCTGTGAATGGATGATGGTGGTACTTATTCACCAAAATTGATGGGAGGACTAAAGCCTGACAGTATAAACTGTTCACATTGGCTGGAGGGGCTGGGGTGGAGGAGGTGGGGGCTGGAGGACTCTGGGTCCTGGAGGAGGAGCTGGGGGTAGCACATGGAGTCTACCCTTCCAGAGAGGTGGGAACAGGCTGTTGGGCAGGGAGGGTGGGGCTAGAACTGCTCCCATTTCCCCCATCAAAACTCCTCCCGGTGACCCAGATAAGCCAATCTGTCTAAGCAGAGAGGCCCCAGGGGCAGCCTGGCTTCCCAGATCTGAGCTGAAGGTTGGGGAAACACAGAAGGTGGGGTCTAGGTATATGGGATTTTCCCTTGATTCTAAGAACCTGGAAGGGACCTGGCACTAGCCTTCAGGAGAGTCTGGGGAGTGTTATGCAAGTCTTGACAGAAACAGTTGTCAGGAGGGATATGTCTGAGACTGACTCCTGGGGAAACTGAGAGACATGGAACAAGGCTGGGGACTCAGACAAGGAATTCTAAAGAGTAACTTGGGCTGTAACATCACCCGCATTGGCTGGTGCTGCAGCAAGAAGGATAGAAGTTACACTACAGGAAGGACTTCCTGGAGCTGAGGAATGTGTGTTTAAGATGGAGGTGGATTGTTTATTAGACTTGGATTAGCCCTGGGATGTCTGTGCTCTTTTAACCTGCAGTCAGCTGAACTGGCTGAGTGGGCAGCAACTTACCCACTTTATAGGTCACGGAGTTCTTGGCGCCAGATGCCTCATTAACCCTGCATTATGAGGTTCCCTAAAGCCTTTGGGGAGGGGTGAACAGCTACCATGGGAGGTTGGGTGCCTCAGAAGTGTGTTCCATTAAGCATGACCTCAGATGGGAAGTTTTCTGGAGCTCCTACTGGCCTGATGCCACCCTAAGAATGATGGAGATTAAACTGTAGGAGGGACCTCCTCAGCAAAATCAGGGATAAGAGCTAATACAATTGTATTATTTTTAAAGATTATGGCCCAGTTGAGAGTGGGAGGCTTGAAGGCTAGAGTGCTGCAGGGATTTCCCAGTAGGTAAGAGTGGAGAGACCCCACCTTGTGGGTAAGTGAAAAGAGGAATACGAGAGACATTGTCACGTCTCGTATCTGGTATCTGGGGAGCCTTATGCAACAGGAGAAACCACTGCCGGGCTGGTTAGACTGGGTGTGACATGGTGAAGAGGCAGAGGACTTGTTGGAATGACCTAGAGGGCCTTTTAAACCTTCTGGATGGACTGAGGCAAGAGGAGCCAGAAAGAGAGGTATGCCTCCTGAGATGTGGGTGAGCCTCTTTTTATTCCCTCCCAATTTACCAACTTCCGCCCAAGTCAGGATCTGTCACAACTCGCGAGAGGTGGAAATTCTGGTTTCCCTGGCCCAGAGCTCCCAGTGCTGGTTTTGGCATGATGGGCACCTGGAGGGCCGTGCTGCCGTTCCAGCCAGGCTGAGCCTTCTGTCCTTTACTTCTGGGACCTGGGAACCCCTCCTTCTTTGTCTTGGATGGCACCCCTGCCCCAGAGTTGGAACACTGGGGTTCCCACTGTGGCTGGTTCTAGGGTATGTGAGGTGAGATGGTTGGCTTTGGGTTGGTAGACTTAGGGAGAACTGTGCAGAGGCCCAAGGAGGCCAATAGCAGGAGCAAAGACAAGGAAAGAGGGGAGCTGGGGGCTGGGAGCCAGGGGCTGGGAGCCGGGAGCCGGCGCTGCAGAGGCCACTTCCCAGGAAATGCTGAAAGCCAACCTGGTGGGATAAACTCTCATTGCCTCCCTGAAAGAAGCAGGTCAGATGGGCCTGAGTGTCAAAGACCCTTAGCCCAGCTGGGCTGTGGGAGAGTAGGCTGGCTCAGACCTGGTCTGTTGGCCTGGATGGGGGGATGGGAAGTATGAGGCACAAAAGTGCCAACAGGTCTGAAAGTGGCAGAAGAGAAAGGTCTGAGAAATTTATACTTTGAGCACAGGAACCTGCTCCCCAGAAGGTCCCCTGCCCAGGGCCAAGCTGTGGGTTTGACTGTGTGACTGTGGGCTTCGGGAATAGAGAAGGTAAAGGAGGAAAGGCACAAAGGACTTCACTGAGGGCGAGATGAAAGCAGGCTGAGCAGAGTTGCTGTGAGAAGAGAACAGAAAAGGAAGGATAGAGAATACCTGGGCTTCCACCCGGAGGGGACAGGACGCAGCAGGCTGAGGCCTGTGAGGGTCATAGAATAGACTCTGAGGCACCTCCACATAGGGAACTACCCTTCCCCCCACTTCTGCTGCCTGGGGCTTACTGATTGGTCCCCAGGGGGATGTGGTAAGGACTACTCACCCAGAAAGTGCCTGGTGCCTGTTTCCCCAGAGCCATCTGGTGACAGCCTGTGGCTGAGCATGGCCCTCCCAGCCCTGGGCCTGGACCCCTGGAGCCTCCTGGGTCTTTTCCTCTTCCAACTTCTCCAGCTGCTCCTGCCAACGACAGCAGAGGGAGGCGGGCAGGGGCCCATGCCCAGGGTCAAATACTATGCAGGTAAGTGTCTGGTGGCCAGGAAGTGTGGGATGGCAGCATCGAGAAGGATGGCGGAAGGAGAGGGCGGAAACACAGTGGAGGAGGATGGACATGGAGAAATGGAGACACACAGAGAGATGCCGGGGGGAGACAGGGCCTGAGACAGACAGACAGAAATAGAAGTTCAAACTGAGAGGAAACCCACTTAAGGTACAGATTGAAAAAAGGGAAGAGAGGGGCCTGGGGTCCAGGGCCACTGCTCCTTCTAATTCTCCAAAGTTGGTGATTTTTCTTTCTCTCCTTAAATGTCATTGTCACCAGCCTGGGCACCCCAAAGCCTTAACTGATGTCATACTCCCAAATGCCCCAAACTTAAGTCCCACGCTGGAAGACCATCTATGGACGGACCCAGAGCACACCGAACCCATGCTACCCACACAGATCATGCTGACCATGGCATACCCAGTACTGTAGAATAGTGTGGCTGGGATATGGGTCCTGGGACCCTCACACAAGCATAGCTCGACTGGCTTCTTACTGAGGCTGTGGGGGGTGCTGGCCCTCTCTCCTCAGAAGGTTCAGGGCAAGGACATAGACCCTGTAGGAGTTGTAGGGGCAGGGGCTCTGGACCTGTGTCTTTAGCATCTTTCTAGGGCAACCCAGTAAAGGAAATGTATATTGCCCATTTCCTTTTTTTTATACAGAGTCTCACTTTCTTGCCCCCACTAGAGTGCTGTGATATCATACCTCACAGCAACCTCAGACTCCTGGACTTAAGCAGTCCTCTTGCCTCAGCCTCTTAAGTAGCTTGGACTACAGGCACCCACCACCGTGCCCAGCTACTTTTTTTTTTTTTGAGAGACAAGGTCTTGCTCTTGCTCAGGCTAGTCTCGAACTTGTGAGCTCAGGTGATCCACTAACTTGACCTCCCAAAGTGCTAGGATTATAGGGATGAGCCACCATGCCTAGCCCTTATGTTGTCCATTGATAGAGAGGCTTCCTCTATGTTGGATGCTGGGAACACAAACACGAACAAGACTCAGTCTCTGCCCTCTAATGGTCACAGTCTCAAGCAATGACAGATGATCAGCCAGTCAGTCACACTACACGGCAATCGATTCTGTAACTTGAGGAGTTGAGACAGCTCTAGGTGAGGGCTGACCTCCAGGAGACATCCCCCCACCAGGCTGGTCCTTCTAGCACTTTGCCGCACTTTACTCCCCTACTCCACCTCTTGGTCCTGGAGAGTACCAGGCTCACCTCCTCTGCCCATGTGGCATGCCTACATGGACCTTTGAAGAACAATGCTTCCTTTCTGTTTGCAGTTATTCTAGTAGTGGAAATTTCCTGTTACAGGAGGGGAAAGAAGTAGGGGTGGGGTGAGGTGGCGAGGGGACCCTCTGACACACAGTCTTATCTATATCTAGCTTTCCTGCTTGCGGTTGCCAACATCTTCCTGTCAGTGGGTTTGCCTGCTGTCCCCCCTCCCAGTGGGGACCAAGGTGTCCTCACTACTGCAGCACTCCTGGGCCAGGAAGAGCATCCATTATCTCTCTTTTTATTTCCTGTCCCTTTGTCACAGGTGCAGGCTGCTCTCCCCCATCACCAGGCTATCATTGCCCTGTCTCTGCCTGCCTCTTCTCCCTACTCTGGGCTCAACATGCAAACCTTCTTCTTGTCTGGCTGCTTTTGGGTGGGATAATCAGGAAAGCTGCAGGTGGAGAAGGGCAGGTCCAGCTGCCAAAGCTTCATCACTCTCTCTTTCTCACACCTCCAACAGGAGATGGACGCAGGACACTTGGCTTCTTCCACCAGAAGGGGCTCCAGGATTTTGACAGTCTGCTCCTGAGTGGTGATAGAAACACTCTCTATGTGGGGGCTCGAGAGGCCATTCTGGCCTTAAATATCCAGGATCCAGGGGTCCCAAGGCTGAAGAACATGGTAAAGAGGCCAAGGATAAAGGATATGAATTGGGAGTGAGGAGTGGGCCTGTAGCTGCACCGCACCTGGGCTGTATAAGCATAAATAACAGGCCAATTGCTAGTATCTATAATCAGCCATAATCAGCAATTCCTGTAATATATATCTTTTTGGGTTTTTTTAAGACAGAGTTTCATTATGTCACCCTTGGTAGAGTACTGTGGCGGCATCACAGCTCACAGCACCTCTAACTCTTGGGCTTAAGTGATTCTCTTGCCTCAGCCTCCCAAGTAGCTGAGACTACAGGCGCCTGCCACAACACCCTGCTATTTGTTGTTGTTGTTATTGTCATTGTTGTTATTGTCATTGTTGTTTAGCAGGCCTGGGCTGGGTTTGAACTTGCCTGCCTTGGTGTATGTGGCTGGTGCCCTAATCACTGAGCTGTGGGTGCCAAGCCTATATCTTGACAATATAACAGACACAAAATATTATAGTGGCTTCACCATTCATCGGAATCATGAGTACTGGTTGAATAATATTAACTGCTAAAGGCTTGGTGCCTGTAGCTCAAGCAGCTAAGGTGCCAGCCACATACACCAGAGCTGGTGGGTTCAAACCCAGCCTGGGTCTGACAAATGACAATGACTGCCAAACTGCAACAAAAAATAGCCAGATGTTGTGGCGGGTGCCTGTATTCCCAGCTACTTGGGAGGCTAAGGCAAAGAATCGCTTAAGCCCAGGAGTTTGAGGTTGCTGTGAGCTGTGATGCCACTGTACTCTACCCAGGGTGACAGCTTGAAGCTCTCGCTCTCTCTCTCTCTCTCTCTCTCTAATGGCTGCTTATAGCAATAATTTGATAATCTACCTACTAGGTAGAAATCCCTGAGGTTTCTGTGTTATAGTTCCCCTACTAATGGAGCAGTGTGGGGGACACTGACCACCTCCTTCCTTTGTGCTGCTTAACATGTTGTCTGTGGCCACCTACACACATACAGTATGGGTAAAAAGTTAGATTCTGGGTGGCACCTGTGGCTCAAAGGGTAGAGTGCTGGCCCCATATGCTGGAGGTGGTGGGTTTAAACCCAACCCTGGCCAAAAGAAAAAAAAAGTTATATTCTCCAAGGTGACCCAGGAACCAACATTTTTTTAACAATTTCCCTAGGAAATGTGTGGTTTGACAGCAGCTGGTGTGTGTGCCATGCATGCATTAGATAGATGCTTTACTATGCCACTTGACCAACCACCTACAAAATTGACCAGGATCGCTCAGTGAGGGATTGAACCTACATTCAAACTCAGCTTGTCTGATTCCTTAGGCCATGTTACACCAAGGATCTGTGTCTGATGAATATCAGTATTGTCAGTGTCATAGCTGTGGTCACAAATTGATGTCATTACCACCTATTAACATGTCACTAACCCCTGTGCCTGCTAGTGATTTCATGCCAGAGCTGAGGAGGGGATTGAAGGTCACAGAGCTGAAGACCTCATCTCTTTTCATCTTCTACCTCCAACTCCCCATTTTCAGATACCCTGGCCAGCCAGTGACAAAAAAAAGAGTGAATGTACCTTCAAGAAGAAGAGCAATGAGGTAAGTGGAAGTGGAGGTGTGGGGGCTCTGGGTAGAGAGCCCTGGAGTCCCTAGACTGTCACTGGATGACCTCAGGTTGGGCAGGCAGTGGCGAACACTGGTTTGCACAATCATCACCTGGATTATGTTCTATAAAGATGTACAGGGATTGCCCCACCATTGGCCAGTCCTTCTCCCCACTAAGAAGTGAGGGGGCAGCCTCTGGGGGCTCAGGTGTTTGAGATGAGTGGCCTAGAGGCCTGAATTTTCTGTCTCTCCTAGACACAGTGTTTCAACTTCATTCGTGTACTGGTTTCTTTCAATGCCACCCATCTCTACGCCTGCGGCACCTTTGCCTTCAGCCCAGCTTGTACCTTCATTGTGAGTTATCTGGTACCTGGCTCTCACGCTCTTGAGCGTCTCTTCTCACATCCATCCCAGGCTTTCCTCCGTAGCTCTGGGAAACTGGTCTTCCACACTCAGGTCCTCATGAGCTTCCTGGCCCCAGACCCGTTTCCCTCTGTGTCTCCCTCCCTTCCTCCCTCCGCCCCTCATTTCCCAGATGTGAGACCCTGGCGTTCTGGCCCCCAGCCTCTCCCCCCCTCTAGGAACTCCAAGACTCTTCCCTGTTGTCCATCTCGGAGGTCATGGAAGGGAAAGGACAGAGCCCCTTTGACCCTGCCCACAAGCACACAGCTGTCTTGGTGGGTGAGTACCAGGTTTCCCTGTCCCCAGAGCCTGGGGAAGTATCAGGTAAAGAAGAGACCTGAGATTTAGTCATTTGTTTAACAAATTGCACTGTGTGAACTCCTGAAGGAGTTACAAAGAAGTCATGGCCCTGGGGACTTCATGCCAACCACTACAAACTTCCACTTGACTTCCTGGATGAGGTGGCCTTTGACTTTTGAGCAGGACCTTGAAAGATAGGTGGATAGATGGGCAATAAAAGCATTCCAGGAGGAGAAAGGTAGGGCCCAAGGTGTCACTTTCTGAGATCAGACAGTCTTCTTGGCAAGTGTTTCAGCTGGGTGTGAGAGGGAGTAGCCAAAGAAAGTCTGGAAAGTAGCTAGACACAGAGGCCGCAAGGGCTGGCAGTATACATTTTATACATGTATCCCAAATGGGAGAGAGGGGCCTAGGAAAGTGCTCAGTGGTAGTGGTGGGGAGCCAGGCTCTGGGGCTCCTCAGGAAGGTGCAGAAATGACCCAGAGACTGACCCTGAGGCCGACTTCAGAGGCAGGTCTGTGGGGGGAGGGCAGTCAGTCTTCCACTTGGTAAATTCTCCTCCCCTGCCCCTCCACTCCCCCAGATGGGATGCTTTACTCCGGCACCATGAACAACTTCCTGGGCAGTGAACCCATCCTGATGCGCACGCTGGGATCCCAGCCTATCCTCAAGACTGACAACTTCCTCCGCTGGCTGCATCGTAAGGACCTGACCCCCAGCCAGCGTCTGGCCCCCTTTCCTGAGACCTAGGACAGGAAATTGCTGTTACTTCACTCAACTCTCACTAGTTGAGGGCACACTATGTGCATTACTGTTAGGCTCAGGGGATCTAGCAGGGAAGAAGACAAAGCTTCTTGTTCTCAAGAAGCTTTCACCTTGGCTCGGTGCCTGTGGCTCAAGTGGCTAAGGCGCCAGCCACATACACCTAAGCTGGTAGGTTCCAATCCAGCCCGGCCGCCAAACAACAATGATGGCTGCAACCAAAAAATAGCCAGGTGTTGTGGCCGACACTTGTAGTCCCAGCTACTTGGGAGGCTGAGGCAGGAGACTCGCTTGAGCCCAGGAGTTGGAGGTTGCTGTGAGCTTTGATGCCATAGCACTCTACCCAGGGGGACAGCTTGAGGCTCTGTCTCAAAAAAAAAAAAAAAAAAAAAAAAGAAGCTTTCACCTTATATAAATACATTAAAGAAGTACCATCATCCCACTCCATCGCCAGCCCTCGACAGGCTAATGGAAGACAGCCTGTCCCTTGTCCAAGGAGAACCCAGGACAAGAAGTGCTCAGTCCCTCTGCCCTGTCTCTGCAGCGGACGCCTCCTTCGTGGCAGCCATCCCTTCGACGCAGGTAGTCTACTTTTTCTTCGAGGAGACCGCCAGCGAGTTTGACTTCTTCGAGAAACTCCACACGTCCCGGGTGGCTCAAGTCTGCAAGGTCTGTAGCCTGCGAGGGAGGCAGGGCTAAGTGCTCAGAGGCCCAATGAGAGCGGGGCGGGGCGGGACTGACTCCCCCCTCCCCCGCCCACAGAATGACGTGGGTGGTGAGAAGCTGCTGCAGAAGAAGTGGACAACTTTCCTGAAGGCTCAGCTGCTCTGCACCCAGCCAGGGCAGTTGCCCTTCAACGTCATACGCCACGCGGTCCTGCTGCCCGCCAACTCTTCTACAGCTCCCCACATCTACGCAGTCTTCACCTCCCAGTGGTGAGCAGCAGGGCGGGTACTGGTGTGGGTCTGAGTCCAGTGTGGCCCCGGCAGGTGAAGGAGGCAGGAATTGGCATGAGCGAGCTCCAACTCTGCACTTTACATAGAAAGGCATCACACTGTCACCCCTCCCAGGAATTTGATTTGTGCCCTTTATATAGCTGTGAAAAATAAAACTCAGGGAGGTGCTAACTAGTTTATATTCTTCCTGGTTCTGAAAAAGATAGGAAGTAGTTTACGAAAGTCAGACATTAAAATCATTAAAACAGATAAGTACATGGGAGGCTGAGGCAAGAAGATTGCTTGAGCCTAGGAGTTTGAGGTTATTGTGAGCTGGGCTCACGACACAGCACTCTAGCCTGGACAACAGAGTAAGACTTTCTCAAAAAACATAAGTAATGGCTCAGCACCTGTAGCTCAAGCGGCTAAGGTGCCACCCGAATACACCAGAGCTGGTGGGTTCGAATTTAGCCTGGGCCTGCCAAACAATGACAACTACAACCAAAAAATAGCTGGGCGTTGTGGTGGGTGCCTGTAGTCCCAGCTACTTGGGAGGCTGAGGTAAGAGAATCGCTTAAGCCCAGGCATTTGGAGTTTACTGTGAGCTGTGACGCCATGGCACTCTACCCTGGGCGACAGCTTGAGGCTCTGTCTCAAAAAAAAAAAAAAAGAGTAAGTAAAATAAAATACAAGAGGAATAAAGAGAGGATGCAAAAAGCCAGGGATAGGGCCAGCACATTACAAATGCTTGACATAAAAGCTGGGCATGGTAGCTCACGCCTGTAATCCTAGCCCTCCAGGAGCCTGAGGTGGGAGGATAGCTTGAGCTCAGGAGTTCCAGACCAGCCTGAGCAAGAGCAAGACGCCATCTGTGCTAAAAAGGGAAATATTAGCTGGGCATTATGGTGGGTGCCTATAGTCCCAGCTACTCGGGAGGCTGAGGCAGGAAGATCACTTGAAGCCATAGAGTTCAAAGTAGACAGACAAGACATTCTGTCTTTGCAAACCAGGGCTGAAGAAATAAAAATAGTCTGACAGTCAGGCGCTGGTCATTTTTCTGAGGACCAGGAACCTAAGGGACCCAAAGGAAGAGGGCTTCATGTAGAGCCAATCTGGAACAGGTTACATTCCCCCTCCCATGGGCCAAGCCCAGCCTACGCAGGACAGGCAGGAGCCACCCCAGGGGATTAGCCCCAATTAATTCCCATTAAGGATAATCATACTTCAGATCCTATGATTGGCCAAGAGCCAGAGTCAGAGAACTCCACAGGGCTCTCTTAGGCCTTGCTAGAACAGCAAGGAAAAGTGTAACCTCTCGGGGTTTCTTACTGAGGATAGGCCAGAGAGGGAGCTGCCTGTTATAGCAGAGAAGACCATAGACAACATCTCCTCTGGCTATTTTCAGGCAGGTTGGTGGGACCAAGAGCTCTGCAGTTTGTGCCTTCTCTCTCACCGACATTGAGCGTGTCTTCAAGGGGAAGTACAAGGAGTTGAACAAAGAAACTTCACGCTGGACTACTTATAGGGGCCCTGAGACCAACCCCCGGCCAGGCAGTGTGAGTACTTATACCCCCCAGTCCCTCCACTGAGCAAAGAACCACACATACAGACACAGATGTCGCATGTGTGTAGAAAGCTTTTATCATGCATGGCATAGTAAAAACCCAGTAAGTGTCAGTGCTCCCACCCCATCTGTCCTGCCTACTAATTTAACCCTGAAACAGCCACCCACATTCCACAGGTGGCCAACAGTGTCCTATACACAGAGCAGCTGTCAGAGCCACCTGCCCTGCAAGGCTGTGTGCTCACCATTATTTGGGTATATCACTGAGGAAACTGGGGGATGTGAGCCATCTGCCAAGGACAGTCTTGGCATCTCCACCTGCATTTCTTTCTTTCTTATTTATTTATTTTTTTTGAGACAGAGTCTCACTCAAGCTCTTGCCGTGGGTAGGGTATTGTGGCATCACAGTTCACAGTAACCTCCAGCTCTTGGGCTCAAGGGTTCCTCTTGCCTCAGTTTTTCTATTTTAGTAGAGACAGGGTCTCGCTTTTGCTCAGGCTGATCTCAAACTCGTGAGCTCAAGCAATCTACCCGCCTCTGCCACCCAGAGTGCTAGGATTATAGGCGTGAGCCACTGTGCTCTGCCTTATTTAACTTTTAAAAAATCAGTTATATCTGTACATGATTTAAAGAATCAAGTATTTCTGCAGGTTACAAAAAACACCTCTATGCCCTATCCTCCACTTTCCTCTCCTTTAGCACTTTTAGCTGATCCTTTCGTATTTATCTCAAAATCTCTAATACTATGCTGTATTGCTACTTCTTGATATTTTAGTTTCAGACAGTATGTATTGGATTCTCCTTCTAGAAGGTGCTACCCCACCCACACCACCCCCATTCACTGGTGTGCTGGAACTGGCTTGCAGCAACTAGCAGGAACTGTTTTTATATATCTCTTTCCAAATTCACGTTTAGTGACATTACATTGGTAGATTGAGATTCACCGTGGTGGAAATACATACCACAGAAATCAATAAACACTAAAAGTCAGGATTTCCATGCCCCTCACCTCCAAATTAGCTGACTAGCATACAGTGACTACACCCACCCACAACCTATAGCCCGGCTTAGCAGTAATTTCAGTTAGACCAACATTTACTGTATGACTAATCTTAGTATTCACAGCTGAACCAGGTAGTGAGCTATTATTTTTTTGTAGTTTTTGGCTGGGGCTGGGTTTGAACCTGTCACCTCTGGTATATGGGGCTGGCGCCCTACTCTTTTGAGCAACAGGTGCCACCTGAGCTATGATTATTTTTCCTTTTTGCATAATTTTTGGCTTGCCTAAGGTTAGTGATTATCTTTTTATTTTATTTTTTTGGAGACAGAGTCTCACTCTGTAGTACTGGGTAGAGTGCCATGGCATTATCATTAATTGATGATAATGCCATACATTATCACAGCAACCTCAAACTCTTGGCCTCAAGCAATCCTCTTGCCTCAATTTTTCTATTTTTAGTAGAAATTGGGTCAGCTTGGCGCCTGTGGCTCAAGTGGCTAAGGAGCCAGCCACATACACCTAAGGTGGTAGGTTCGAATCCAGCCCAGGCCCACCAAATAACAATGATGCTGCAACCAAAAAACAGCCGGGCGTTGTGGTGGGCGTCCGTGGTCACAGCTATTTGGGAGGCAGAGGTAGGAGACTAGCTTGAGCCCAGGAGTTGGAGGTTGCTGTGAGCTGTGATGCCACAACACTCTACCCAGGGGGACAGCTTGAGGCTCTGCCTCAAAAAAAAAAAAAAAAAAAAGAAAAGAAATTGGATCTTGCTCTTGCTCAGGCTGGTCTCAAACTCCTGAGCTCAAGTATTCCACCTGCCTTGGCCTCCCAGAGTGCTAGGATTACAGGCATGAACCATTGCACCTGGCCAAGGTTAGTAATTATCTTAATTTCTTTGCTTGCTTTGTTTCCTAAGCCCTTTTCTTTAATTCAACTCCAAACTCTTCTTGAATTATCTGAATATATTTTCAAGACAGACCTATCTATTAGGGCCAGGCACGGTGGTTCAGACCTGTAATCCACACTCTGGGAGGCTGAGGCAGGAGATTGCTTGAGCTCAGGAGTTCAAGACCAGCCTGAGCCAGAATGAGTCTTCGTCTCTAAAAAATATGTGGGTGTTGTGGTGAGCGGTGAGCACCTGTAGTCCCAGCTACTCAGGAGGCTGAGGCAAGAGAATCAATGAGCCCAAGAGTTTGAGGTTGCTGTGAGCTATGACGCCATGTCACTCAACCCCAGGGCTCTGTTTCCAAAACAAACAAAAAGACAGACGGAGCTGGGTTTGAACCCTCCACCTCCAGCATATAGGGCTGGCGCCCTATTCCTTGAGCCACAGGCACCGCCCTATTCTTTCTCTTTTTTTTTTTTGAGCTGGAATCTTGCTGTTTTGTCCAAGAGGGTCTTGAACTGGCCTCAAGCAATCCTCGTGCCTCAGCTAAGTAGCTGGGGTTACAGGTGTGACCCACTGCACCTAGCACCTGTTAGCTATTCTAACAGTTTCATCTGCTAGAGACCCTGCATATGTATCTGCTCTAGTCTTGACTGGGGGCCCTCTACATCTGGAGCACAGTTGTCATCCTCATCATCCTGGGGATTTCTTTTGCCTCTTTTCCTGCTACAGATCTTGTGTTTCTTGCATCCCGTGCCTTCTTCTTCTTTTTTTTTTTTTTTAAACTATCTCATTCTAGTGGAGGTTATCCTCCACAGATTCCTGGAAAAAGATATATGCAGCTAAAATATTTTGAGACCTTGAATGATAGCTTGGCTGGTATGTGTAATTCTAAAATAGAAACAGTTTTGGGTGGCACCTGTGGCTCAGTGAGTAGGGCGCCAGCCCCATATACTGAGGGTGGTGGGTTCAAATCCCACCCCAGCCAAACTGCAAGAAAAATAATAGGCGGGCATTGTGGCAGGTGCCTGTAGTCCCAGTTACTCAGGAGGCTGAGACAAGAGAATCTCCTAAGCCCAGGAGTGGGGTTGCCATGAGCTGTGACTCCACAGCACTCTACTGAGGGCTACATAGTGAGACTTTGTCTCTAAAAAATAAAAATAAAAAAAAATAGAATAGAAACAATTTTTCATCAAACTTTAAAGGCCTTGCTTTTAGCTTTCAGATCTGCTGTTAAGAAGTTCAAAGTTATTTTAATCCCTGACCCACTGAATGTAACCTGTCTTTTTTCCTCTTATAGCACCTTTTCTTTGTCCCTGGTGTTTTGAAATTTCATGGTGATTCCATGGAACTCTGTTCATTTATTGTGCTGGGTACTCACTGGGCCACTTCAGGATGGAAATTGAGTTCCTTAAGTTTTGCAAAGTTTCCTTGAACTATTTCTTCCTATTTCCTTTTCATTCAACAAATATTAAGTGGGCTGCCATACCTCATTCAACAAATATTTGTTTATTTATTTATTTTGAGACAGAATCTCACTATGTCGCCCTCAGTAGAATGCTATGGCATCACAGCTCACAGCAACCTCAAACTCTTGGGCTTAAGCGATTCTCTTGCCTCACAGCCTCCCGAGTAGCTGGGACTACAGGTGCCCCCCACAATGCCCTGGCTATTTTTTGTTGCAGCTGTCATTGTTGGTTAGCTGGCCTGGGTCGGGTTCAAACCTGCCAGGCTTGGTATATGTGGCTGGCGCTGTAACCACTGTGCTATGGGTGCTGAGCCTCAACAAATATGTTTTGAGGACATGTAACCCCAGTACCTTTTTTTTTTTCTGAGACAGAGCCTCAAACTGTCCCCCTGGGTAGAGTACTGTGGCATCACAGCTCACAGCAACCTCCAACTCCTGGGCTCAAGCAAGTCTCCTGCCTCAGCCTCCCAAGTAGCTGGGACCGCAGGGTCCT